AAGGGAACCACCAGGATCTGGACCACGGGTCTGAGCAGCCCTTGCCCTGCCCAGGTCACCAGGCACGTGGGTGATGCCACAACTCCCCGGGGTGTCAGCAATGACAGCCCCAGTGGGCGCTGCTTGTCTGGGAAAACGTGAGCTGGAAGCGGAGGGTGGGGAGGGGGAGAAGGAGAAGCTGCTGCTAAAAATAGCCCTTTCTGAAAGAAAGGGATGAAAACCTCTTTGGAGAAATGAGGGGAGAGGGGGAGTGTTTCCCTGGAAACGGGGAAGTCTGTCTCTTCCTAAAAGAGGGGGTGGGAAATGAAGAAATAGTAAATACAGGAATGACGGGGAAGAGGATCCTGTGTGGCGTTCCCCAGGCATCAGGGAGGGGGGATGTGGGGTCTGAGCTCGCCTGGGACCCAGGGGAGGCAGATGAGGCTCTGGCAATGCCTGCCCACACAGCCTGGGAATGTCACCCTGTCACCTGTGACCTGCCCAAGTTACCTCGAGAACAGCGAGCCCAGAGCTGGGGACACGCAGGGCCAGGTCAGTGGGGTATCTCCAGCCACCCCTGGTGGCTCAGCAGAGGTGATAAAACAATGAATATCCTCCAAGTGCTTTAAAAAAGTACACAAAAAATCTTGTTTGTTTGTTTTTTTCTGGGGATTTCAGTGGGATGAGCGTCCTGGGTGATGGAAACCTCTCACCCCACTCCACGGCTCTGACCTTCAGCAGCTCTTGTGGCCCCCCCTCAGCACCAGGACACACTTGGGCTGAGAATCACAGCCTCTAAAAACAGAAAGCCCTCATGCTGCCTGGAAGGGGGCCACTGATTCCTTCCCTGTTCCTTAATTTGGCTTGGCCTGTCTCTTTTTTTTTTTGTTTGTTTGTTTGTTTGTTTGTGCAAGTGAAATAAAGTGGCTTTGAGAGCCTTTTAACTGGAGTGGCTGGAGCAGCTCAGGTGGGAGACACCCCCCAGGCCTGGCACCCACCCTTGTGCCAGCCCAGGTCCATTAGTTCTGCTGGAGCAAGCTGCTCCATGGCATGAAATATTCACAGTCATCTCAAGAGCTGCAGTTCTCTGCCGTGTCCTGGCTGAGCTAAAATGCTTTTTATTTTCAGTGAATGGTGCCCAGCTCCTCTCCAGTCCAGGATGCCCCATCCAGGCTGGTGGAGCATCTTTGGAGGCCAAGAGTTGCGACTCAGTGGCCTTGACCAACTGAGAGTTCAGACTGAACCCAAAGGAGATATTTTTAAATAATTGGATATTTTGTTATTAAAAAAACACCTTGGAGAAATACAGAGGGAGAAGGTATTTAATGGTAACTTCATAGATGGGTGATTTTTGCTGGTTTTCCTTTGGCTCTTGTGCCTTCCCAGGGACCAGAAGATCTTCTCAGGAACCAAGGATATTTTCCCAGGGGATTAGGAGTTCTCCTAGTATCCAGGAGGTTCTCCCAGGGAGCAGGAGATTCTCTAGAAGATGCTCCCATTAAAGAGGGGATTCTCCCAGGGACCAGAAGATGCCCCCAGGAACCAGGAGATTTTGCAGAGGATCCTCCCAGTATGCAGGGAATTCTCCAGGAGAACTCCCCAGGATCCAAAGGATTCTCCCAGGAACCAGGAGCCCTGCCCAGCATCTCTTTTATTTTTTGCTTTGCTCCTCCTTTCCCACATCACTCCCTGCAAAGCCCCAAACCTCCCCTGGGTGGGGGGGAAGCTGCTCTGACCTCTCTCTGCCCGGTATTCTGGGATTCAGCAGCAGCACCTGCTGTGGAAGATCTCCTGTTCCTCTGGGTCTGTGTCACTTTGTTCCCAGGCTGTGCATTTTTAGACACGGTGCCACCACATCGGGGTCACCGGCGGCTCTCGGCGTCCCCTCCTCTCGTCACCACACAGGGGATGGGGGTTACTGGGGTGCTGGGGGTCCAAGAGCTCCATCCCCTGATGTCAGCAGCGGGTGGGAGGTCGGCTGCTTTCCCTGGAGGTGACTCACAGCCCTGGGAACTCACCCACAGCTTTCACAGCTCCCAAAATGACACGAGGCCCCAGCTCTGTCTGGAGGGAGATGGCGCTCAGCGACTGGCCCCGTCACACCCTGCTGGGCACCGTGGGCAAGGCTTGGGCCAGCTTGGATGCTCCTCCTGGAATGGCTGCTGGCATCCACTGCAGCCCTCCAAGGCCCTGTGGCTCTGCAGGGGCTGGGAGGGGTCCCCAGGGGTGACACCGTGGGGAGATGTGACCGTGGGAGGCTCGGAGGGTGTGATGGGGGTGGGATCCTCCCATCCCTGCCCTCCCACTCCCTCCCTGGGAGTCCTGAGCAGTGGGGCTGGGTGTGGGCCTGGATTCCCAGTGACACTGGCGCTGGAATTCAGCTGTTCTGGATGAGGCCAGTCCTGAGGATAACCCTGCCCTGTGGTTTTAATCCACCCCTCACAGCATCACATCCCAGAGCATCTCCCAACCCGCCACCAGCAGGATATGGGGGGAAAAGGGTGGAAAAAAGCACATTTCTCCTATTTGTAGATGGTCTGCAAAGTCACAAACAGACTGTCTGAAGCTTTGGGGGTTTCCCTGGGAATGAAGGCAGAAAAACAAAGAGAGATCATCTGTTTCCTGATGGGACCTGGATACCACATCTCCTGTCCCTGGGACACCAGGAATCCTCCCTCTGGAACAACTGTTGGCATCTGACCCAGCCCTCAAGTCCCTCTGGCTTTGCAGGAGGTGGGATGGGGTCCCCCAGGAGGACACAAAGTGCCCTTCCCAGCACCACACGCACAGAGAGGGTGGGATTTCCAGTTTGAGTGTCTGTAAAACCCGCTGAGACAGAACTGATCCAGAAGGAAATTATTATTTCATAATGATATCGATGCGAAGACGTCGGCTGGTTAAATCCTTGTGAAAGGGCCAAGTGGGAGCAGAGTTCTGGTTTTCCAAAGGGCTGGGATCCCTCTGGAGGGGTGAGCAGTGGTTGGGGAGGTGAGTGCAGACACACAGACAACACCAGCTTCACAATTAGGGGAGCAAATGAGGCGAGAACGTCACCCAGCCCAGAGAAATTCCCCTGATTTTCTGGAGTTTGGCTCTTTGTTCGGAGCTGGTGCTGGGAGTTCAGCTCCACGGGAACTGTTCCGTGCCCGGCCTCAGTTTCTGCACATTGCATAAGGATTAGCCTGGGGCAAGTCATTTTTTGGATTCAACCTACCCTGCTCTGGCAGATCCGCCTTCAGAAAAGGCTAAAATGGTGCAGATGACATTAAAAACCCTCACCCAGAGTAGCCTCTTTCCCAGCTGGATGCCTGCAGGAGGGAAACATGCAGTGCAAGGGCTGCTTGCAAAGGATTCCCAGTTTTTCCACAGGGTTAGACAGTAATTTTCAATATTGGGATCTGGCTGGGGATCTTGTGGAAATACAGGTGTTGTTTCAGGATGAAGAGGGGTGTTGGCTGATTGCACCCACTCCCTGTCTGTGCCTGCTGCTGCTCTGGGACCATCAGGGAGCTAAAATAATGTGGTTTGTCCCTGCCATGTCCCCACATCCCCCTGGATCACGGGGCACTACACCCAGCACTGAAATCACTCCACACAAATTCGACCACCGTGGGTGGGAATAGAAACATCCCCCTTTCCCTCCTCCAGCTCCCGTGTTTCTGGGTGCCAGGAGAGCCTCGTGGGGTCTCCCTCATGCCCCTTGGGGGGATGGCAGAGTGGTCCAAGCAGATGCATCTCCCTTGTGCCTAAAGACAGGGGTTGATCCATAGGTCTTAAATATTCGTAGGAGCTTGGCCACGTCCTTCCTTTGGGGGCGGGAGAAGCCTCCCCGCGACGAAGGGACCTCAGTAAAGGCAGAGCGATACAAAATAATCGCCTTTTCACGTTCCCCACCCCAGCCCAGGGCAAAGCGGAGAGTCCGGTCCTGCCCCGTCTCCTTCCCCAGAGCTGCGGGGACCCAGCAGCTTCTCCACCCCCTCCCCCCTCCCCGTTCTCCCGTAGCAGATCCAGGCTATTACCAAGGATATGGTATGGATCGGAGACGCGTGGTGAAGCAGCATCGTTGTATCCAGGGATATGATTATTTCCCAGTGGTTGAAATCTAGGTCTCCCGCTTGGGAGGAGGGGTGCGGGGGGGTGAGAGGGGTGGGCAAGGGCGGGGAGACGCTCGTATTAATCTTATGAATATTCATGGAGAAGCTTTGCTGGCTCTGGGGGTTGAGTCCGGGGTAGAGTTTGGGGGGCCGGGGGTGAGAGGTGGTGGCAGCGGCGCGGAGCAGCTGCTTGTGCATTCGCCGCATGCCTGACTGCAGAGCCGAGTGTAAGTTGGTGCCTTTTTCTCTCCCCTTCCCTCACCCCCAACCCCATCCCTGCATCCTTCCCCTCTTCCCGCTGCTTCCCCCTGCTTAAATAATCCTGGCCAGGAGCGGTGCAAAAGGAGGGACTTTTGATTCAGACGCAAACACGACCCCAAATCTTCACCCCTCCGAGACGCAGCCATGGCTCCTGCCTGCAGTGCGGGCAGGGAGAGAACTCCGGGGCTTTGGGCAAACCTTCACCACCTCCACCCAAATCCCCCCCTCCTAAATTTGCATGGATTAACCCTAAAAATGCTTTGAAGAGGGGGGCGGAGGTTGTTTGCTAGGAAGGCAGGTGATGGGGAGAAAGTAGGAGAAACTGAGTGCCGGGATAGGTGATGTCAACTCAGATGATGTCGCAACCGCTGAGCATCACAGCTTGGGTTTGGAGTCACAGAAAGAAGCACAGAGCCCATGACAAATAAAAATCAACCTGTTAAAATAATAATAATTTAAAAAAAAAAAATAAAAAAGAAAGGAAATTTCTGTGCCGTTGAACAAATCCAGGGTGTTTTGGGAAAGGAGGAAGGGGAGGAGAGAGTTTAGGGACAGGAGAAAAACTGTGTGTTTATTTAAAAAAATAAATAAATAAATAAAACCCCGAATGTTTGTTGAATGGGGGGGGGTGGGTGTTTGTATTTTTTGGTGACATGGGCATTTGTGGCTGCCAGACCTTTCCTGCAGCAGCAGAAAGATGGTGTTTGTGGTGCTCTGGCGTGATGCTTGGAGGAGCCAGGGAAGGTCAAATCCAGCTCAGCTCCTGAGCGGGTCGCTGGGGAGCGAGTGATGGGGAGGCAAATGCAGAAAAAGGAGATAAAACTGGGACAAACGCGACCTCCCCTCCTGTGGGCCTGGCAGAAAAGGGTTAAGAGAAGCGGTTGAATGCTGCAAGCCTCGTCAGGGTTGTACTATTTTTTCTAGTGCATAAGGAGAAGGGAGAGGAGGGTTGCACGGAAAAGGGAAATTTCCGAGAAAAGAGGGATCTGCGGCAATATCTGCACCTCGGGGGATGAAGAGAGGAACCAACAGGCATAAATGGCCTGGGGACGGCTGAAATCTCTGCCGAGGAGATTGGCACCGCGGGGTTATTTTCCACTTGCCTCCCCTACCCATTTCTGTAATCCTGGCTCAAAGTAGACAAGTCGAGTTGGAGCTGAAGAAGGGAGGTTAGAGGGGTTTTTATTTCATTTGGGAGGGGTGGGGGAAAAAAGAAAAAAAAAGAAAAGCAGCAAAAATGAGAGGTTGGTTGTCCCTCTCCGGGTTGAGCATCTCCGTGGCGCGAGGCAGTGCAGGATGATCCCAAGGAGCACTCGCCGGGAGCAGGGATGTGAGGATCCGGCACCCACCGGGGACACGAGCCTCAGCATCCCCAGGAGAAATTGCACCCGGCGGAGTCGAATTCCCGAGGGGGTGGGTCGGCCGTGGGGGGCAGGGGGGAGGCGGGGGAAGTGTTGGCTTTTGGGAGGACGGGGAGGGTGGATGGAGGTCGCGTGGGTCGGGGCCTGCAACGTCGGGTCCTTGGAGCCACCAGCGGCGGTGTGTGTGGGGGGGGAAGGTGGCCTTGAAAGGGGACAGACAGGGACCGGTGGGGAGTTCAGTCTGGCGAATGAAACCGGAGCCTCCTGAATCACCGGGGGACGCGACGCAGCGCCGTGAGTGCCGTGCCCGGTGGGTGCCGTGCCCGGTGGGTGCCGTGCCCGGTGGCTCCCACCGGCTCCAGGGGGCTTGGCGATGCTGGGGGACCCTCCGCGGCTTTGCAGAGCCTCAGCGGCCGGGGTGGGGGGGTTGCGTCGTTCTTTCCCCCCTCCACCCCCTCCTCCATCCTGCGCCTGGCACCGGCTCCCCCGGGCAGCGGCCCCGCGGTGCTGAGCAGGGCGCAGGGAGATGGGGCTCTGGCTTTTTCCGCCCTGGCTCTAGCGCGCTCTCGCCCTCGCCTCGCGTTGCAGTGCGGGGCGGGCGAGCAGCGGGCGAGCAGCTCTCGGGTAAAGAAGAAAGGGGGTGCCCGGAGGAGCCGCGGCTTTGCAGATGCTCCTCTGGGACCCCCCGCCACCACCACCCCCCAGCAGCTTGTAACCTTCTCGGTGTTTTTTCCAGGCGATGCCACACCTCCCGAGGACACTGGGGACATCGGGTTTTGCTGAGCTTAGCAGCTTTTCACCGTCGTACCGAAGGCATCAGACAGACGCTCATCTGCCCTGAAGTGCAGATCTGCAACAGCTCCCGGGAAGACTCTGTCTCTCTGTCTCTCTGTCTCTCTTTTCTCTCTCTCTCCAGTCCAAACCATTACAAGACCTGACTTCCACCATCTGGGAATTTAACCCCTCTTATGTCCCTTCTCCTTTTTCTACGATGACTCACCATTATTTTTAACTTTGAAGAGAGAGGAAATTATGGGGATCTTGGAAGCCTGTATTTCTCTCTAGGATTTCCCCAGGGGTCAGATAATCGGTGTTACTAAGAGACACTAAGATTTGGCTTCTCCAGGTAATGTGATTTGTTTTCTGTGTGCCATGGTGGTTTGCAGAGGATGACAGGAGCCGGGACACCAGCGGCCGAGGAGGGGGACTGCGGTGGTCCATGGGGGAATCGCCGGCTCCGCATTCCAGAGCTTGGCTGCAGGCAGGGAGGGCAGCATGTCGCCGAGCCGCCGCTTCGTGGCTAGGGCAAGAGGATTGGGAAGGTGTTAAAAGCCGAGTTGGAGTTTTTCTGGAGGGTTGATTGCCTGAGATCCGCACGGTTAAATGTTGATTAACCCTTCGCTGCATGCCTGGGAATGACCTGAGCCCCGGCACCCCGTGGGGTCCCCTTGCCACTTTAGGGCTGGATGGGGTTATTTTTCTTCCTTCCTTTCTCTTCCCTTTCCCCTCCTTGCCTTTTTATTTTTAAATTGAAATTTTGATTTTTAGCCAAAAAATAAGCCCTGCTTTGCCAATGCCAGTTTTTCCGTGCTGGTTTTGAACAGGTGATGGTTCCTCAGGTGTTTTACTCTGTTCCACCTAATGGGTTTAGACGGGAGTTGTTGAACTCTGTCCCACAGAAGGCAAATTAACCCCCCCCCCAAGGAAGGGCATAGACATGCTAGTGAAGGGATCTGCTCTCCTCCCCCCAACTTTATTCCATCTCTCTCTTTCTCAGCAGGGGTGATTTTCTTTCTCCTTTTTTTTTTTTTTTTTCCTGTATCTCATCCCTTCGCCTTTTCATGAGACTCTTCCAACCCTACATACCTGTCCTTCTGCAGGATAGTAGCCCTGCCCTGAACCTGATCCCACCACCGGGCCCTGGGAAGAGCTTAGCATAAGGATTTCTTTGAAAACCCCCAATATGACAGTTGCCACTGGAGATCCTGCAGATGAAGCTGCAGCTCTTCCCGGTCACCCGCAGGACACGTATAACCCCGAGACCGACCATGAGTGCTGCGAGAGGGTGGTCATCAACATCTCGGGGCTGCGCTTCGAGACGCAGCTCAAGACGCTCGCCCAGTTCCCAGAGACCTTATTAGGGGATCCTAAAAAGAGGATGAGATATTTCGACCCTCTCCGGAACGAGTATTTCTTTGACCGGAACAGGCCCAGCTTCGATGCGATTTTGTACTATTACCAGTCCGGTGGGAGGTTGAGGAGGCCGGTTAACGTGCCCTTAGACATCTTCTCAGAAGAGATTCGATTCTACGAACTGGGGGAAGAGGCAATGGAGATGTTCCGAGAGGATGAGGGCTACATCAAAGAAGAGGAGAGGCCGTTGCCCGAGAACGAGTTCCAGAGACAAGTGTGGTTGCTCTTCGAGTACCCCGAGAGCTCGGGCCCTGCCAGGATTATAGCTATTGTCTCCGTCATGGTGATTTTAATCTCCATCGTCAGCTTTTGCCTGGAAACCTTGCCCATTTTTCGGGATGAGAACGAAGACATGCACGGCAGCGGGCTGAGCCACCTCCCCTATTCCAACAGCAGCATGGGCTACCAGCAGTCCACCTCCTTCACAGACCCCTTCTTCATCGTGGAGACACTTTGCATCATCTGGTTCTCCTTCGAGTTCCTGGTGAGGTTTTTCGCCTGCCCCAGCAAGGCTGGGTTTTTTACCAACATCATGAACATTATAGACATCGTAGCCATCATTCCCTATTTCATCACCCTGGGGACGGAGCTGGCCGAGAAGCCGGAGGACGGCCAGCAGGGCCAGCAAGCCATGTCCCTGGCCATCCTCCGAGTCATCCGCTTGGTGCGGGTCTTCAGGATCTTCAAGCTCTCCCGGCACTCCAAGGGGCTGCAGATCCTTGGGCAGACTCTCAAGGCCAGCATGCGGGAGCTGGGCCTCTTGATATTCTTCCTCTTCATCGGCGTCATCCTCTTCTCCAGCGCCGTGTATTTTGCCGAGGCCGATGAGAGCGAGTCCCAGTTCCCGAGCATCCCCGACGCCTTCTGGTGGGCCGTGGTTTCCATGACGACTGTTGGCTACGGAGACATGGTCCCCACCACCATCGGGGGGAAAATAGTGGGTTCCTTGTGTGCCATAGCTGGCGTATTAACGATTGCCTTACCAGTGCCCGTCATAGTGTCCAACTTCAACTACTTCTACCACCGGGAGACGGAGGGAGAGGAGCAGGCTCAATATCTGCAAGTAACCAGCTGCCCAAAGATCCCCTCTTCCCCTGACCTAAAGAAAAGCAGAAGTGCCTCTACGATTAGTAAGTCTGATTACATGGAGATTCAGGAAGGCGTAAACAATAGCAATGAGGATTTCAGGGAGGAGAACTTGAAGACAGCCAATTGCACCCTTGCTAACACAAACTATGTGAATATCACCAAAATGCTAACCGATGTCTAATCGCTAAAAAAAAAAAAAAAAAATCTAGTGGTGTATTTAAAAGCTGAAGTGGAACAATTGCAGATATTGAGTGCTGCTCTGCATTGTAGTTAACACAGTTATTTTCTACGGTGTATATTTGGTTCTGCATGGGAAGCAATAGCTGTGTAAGTGACTTTTAACCTTCGATTTCCACACTGAATAAGCATCCGTGCAAAACAAACAAACAAAACAGACAGACAAACAAACACCCCCCAACAAACCCAAACCATTTCGTTGTCCTTCTCCCATCCCAGGCTCGTGGGTTTCCCGAGGGGTACGGAAGGGATTTGGAGCAGCAGGATGGGGGGTACGAGGGGCAGCTCCAGGTTGTGCCAGCTCCCTGTCCTGGGTGACAACCCACCTTCCAGGGAAGGGCTGGGAAAGGTCAGGCAGAACTTAACGAAGGGGGCGATGTGGGCGAAGTGTCAGAATTGCTGGAAGGCTCCGGTTTCCACCCTGGGAATGCCAAGCCCGGCCGCGTCGCCCGGGCTCGTGTTTCATAACTGAAAATGCTGCATGCTGCAATAGTTTCAGCCACTGCAGTGTGCCAGTGTGAGGCCCAGGGGAGGGATAATTAGTGTGACAGCACATTATTTATTAAGTCTTAAATTTTCTATTGCCAGGCATCGGGAGGGCTGGGTAAATAAATCAAGCGCTTGGATTTTAGGATTTCTTTAGATAACACTTCCATCCCCGGTGTTTCCAGGCTCACCAAAGACATCTCCACTAATCTGTTGAAAATGAGTTGGAAAAAGCATCTTTTTTTACATCTATATATAAAACTGGAGCAACTATGCTGTGGCCTACAATATATTTATACTGCAGTGAAATTTAACCAGTAATACAGTACAGCTGCATGGATATCTGTTGCATGAATCTGAATATTTAATACACACACAAATATATATTTTCTTAGTAGACTATACGATATTCATGTTTATAGTGTTTATAGATTCTCCGGTGGCTCGAAGGAGATTCATGGGAGTTGAAAAAAAATCTCAACTGCAGTTAAAAACAGGACGGGGAAGGCGCGTGCTGACAACAGTTGGATAAGATAACGAGGCAAAGCCCGAGTGTCCGAGCATTCAGACACGAGAGCCAGCTAGAGCGAGGGAAGGTGAGCTGAAAGTTAAACACCTGCACTCGTTATGGGGCGAGTAATTAGTCATTAATCTTGGTGTCGGGAGCGGAAAGCGCAGGGCGGATCAGAGAGGGCACAGGGAGCAGGTGGAATTGCAGGTTCTGGCTCTCCCGGATTGTTTGGTCAGCAGTTTTCAGCCGTTCCCGTCTAATCCTTGGGGTGTGTGTGTGTATGTAGATATTTAGAGAGCGACTACAGGGCCGGATCCTCAGCAAACAGAGCTCTTGGGGCATTGGGGATTTCCTGATTTAGGGGTGCTGGGATGGTGGGACAGGGGCTGGAGCAGGATGACCTACCCCGTGGAGCCCATGGGATCACTGGGGAAGGGCGTGTTTTGGGCTGGAAAACTCCTTTTCAACCACACAGAGCCCCAGGGCTGGGGGTTTATTTCTTTGTGATGGAAAAGGCACGTGCTGAGGGTGGGCTGGATCTGAGCTGCTGCCTCTCAGCCCTTGCTTTGCCTCCTTCCAGGGTCTTTAGAGTGGTGAGTTGGGGTGCAGAGAGCCTGAGGATGTCCCTGCTTCTTCATCCCTGCTGGTGTTTGGGGATGGGAGCTGTTGGTTCAGGGGGAATCTCGTCTGCTTTCCCCATTCCCATCTGGATTTCCTTGTTTCTCCCCCATTGCTGAGAATCCCCAGGGAAATCCTCTGATGTTCCTCTGATGAGTCAGGAGAGAGGGATTGAAATCTCTGCCAAGGTTGTGGTCCATCAAAGCCTCCCTGGGCTGCAGAACAAGGTTCAGCTGGGGTGAATTTGGGCTGAATTGGGGCACAGTCAGTGCTGTACTCGCTTGATGTGTGGGCACCAGGAGAGAACCCTCCAGCAGAGAATGTGGGGGAGGTCAGAGACCCTTCCTGAGCTCAGAGAGGAAAACCCAACTAAATAACAATAAACCAACCGGTGCTAACATGTCCTAACACCAATGGTTCCAAATGATGCTCTGGGGCCGGATCCACCTCGGGCTGATGTGGCTTCACTCAGCCAGGTGGAAACACTCCTCAGTTTTGTTGGATTGGTTGATTGATTGATTGATTGGTTGATTCTGGCCTGGCTATAATCAACATCATGGTTTGTGCATGGGAGTCCTGCCTTCTGCTTGGGGCCAAGGACCAGCAGCATCCAGGACCAACAGCAGCCTGTCTTTAATCCCATTACATTGGGAACCTTCTGCTCCCGCTTTCCTGCAGCAGCTCAGGAATGGGAGCTTCTGCAGCCCGCTCAAAAAAACCAACACAACCCAAAGCAATAAATTTTGACTCCTGAAGCTCATCCTGTCGGATGGGGCAGGGCTGGCAGGAGCTGCCAGCTTGGCCACGATTCCCAGGGCAGTCGGCCAACTTCCATTGATCCGGCTGGCCGTGGGTTCGTGGAGGCAGGAGCGTGGAGACGAGCACAGGGGAAGCTGCTGGATGTACTGGGAATGCTGCTCGCCCACCTCTGGGTGCCTCCACACCAGGTGATCCCATTCCTGGTCAAGATTGAGGGAAAGTTGCCGCAGGTTGTTTTTTTTTTGGTGGTGGGGTTGGATTCTGTCGGTCGGTGAGACTTTGTGACGTGCCTGGCTGTGAGCTTGGGATGGGTTGGGATGGTTGGCCAAAGCCTGGAGTGCTGCTGTGGTTTGGTGAGGAAGAAGGTTGTGTTTCCCTTTGGGGAGGTGGTGTTTTGGGAATAGAGTTCTTGCAGGATTTCCAAGGCCAGGCAGGAGGGGGAGAGCGGATCCACGAGCAGGATCAGCCACATCCAAACCTTCTCACCAAGCCTGTGGAAGCCCCAAGGGGCATTGCAGGGATAAATGGGGCCAAAGAGCGAGAGTCCACTCTCCTTTTCTCACCAATGTGAACTGACATCTGTCCCCATGGCCAGTCCCTTCCTTGGGACAGATCCTGCACCCCTGGCACTGGGGAAAACCAGCCTTGGTGGGGGATTGGACCTGCTCTGCTCTCGTTTGGGAAACAGGGCAAACAGCCAGATCAGTGCTCAGACATTTGTCCAGGGTGGGAAAGGTCGGGGCCGTGGCTGGAAGGGATCTGTCCGTCTGCACGAAGCAGAGGGGTGCAGATTTCTCCCTTGCACGGAGAAATGGTTCTCCTACAGCTTTTAATGGGATTTGTGCCTGCGGTCGGAGCTCCAGTGCTATTTCTAGCTTTACTTCTGACTCACTGATGTGATCTTGAACCAGTTTTTCAGGAGGAGAATGTGATTTTTTTTTTTGCCTTTTCTTGTTTGGTTTTTTTTTTCCTCAAGGAATTTGTTTTCAGAGGCTCTGGGCCTGTTTCTGTGGAGATGCTGAGCATCCCAACCTCCTCTTGACTCTGAAAGGGTGCAAAAATGAGCTGCAAAACGGCTCAGACTGAGGATGTGAGATTAGAGAGCGGGGAGAGAGAAGTGGGGGAGTCCCAACATCCGTGTCTGATTGCATGAGGCCACTTAACAGAGGTGGTCTGGTTCCTTTCCTCCTCCTGGGGAGAAAATTGCCTCTCTCCAGGGCTTGGGATGGAGGACTGGAGCTCTCTGGTCTGTGGAGGTGCTCCTGGAGGAGACAGCACATCTCTTTTAGATTATCCTTTGTGCCCCAGTTTTGAAGAGATGGAGAGCTGGGAAAGCTTTGGAGAGGTGGAAAGGTGGAAAGCAGAAAGAGTTTTGGAGAGATGGAAAGATGGAAAGCAGTGCATGTTGTCTTCTACATCCAACCTCATGGCCAAACCCTCAAGCAACCTCTCAACCCATTTAATATCTTCCAAAATCTCTGCTAAGAGCAATGGGTGAGGCTCAAATACCAGGTGGATGCTACCATGAGATCAGGAAAAAATGATCTGTGTGGGGCACTGTGTTTTATTGGGAAAAATTAATCTCTGCAGGGAAATTTTGTGTCCAAATCCTCCAGATTTGAATAGAGAGCTATAAGAAGGAGAGGATCTCTTGATTAGCGTGATGGGAGCGTGGCACGTGGGTGTATAAATATGGGCATATTTGTGCATAAATACACAGAAGGAGAGAAAAAGACAGAGGAGGAGGAGGTATTTCAGGAAGGGCCTTGTTTTGTTATCAGATTAATTCCTGGGTCAGCCCTTGAAATCGCTGCCAAAGTCTTGTAGCTTTTGTGGAGCTTGAAAAAGGTTTGGGAATGGGTCCAAGTGAAGGAGAGCTGGATCTGGCTTTGGAAGCAGGAGTTTACCAAGGTGTTGGGGGCATTCATCTCCTTGGAACGCTCTGCAAGCAAGCAGGGTCTCTGCTCCTGCTCCTGAATCCCCATCTTGGACCCATCATGACCATTTCTGTGACTGTGCAGGGAAAGCCAAGGAGAAGTTGAAGGGATCTGGTGGTGACACAAGTGCTGTGCTGCACTAGGTGGGGTTTTGGGGGTTATTTTTTTTTTAATGGGTGGATTTTAAGTCCCTTGAGCTATGGCAAATTTTGGTCCCAGTGTGGTAGCTCCTATTTGGAGCCAGGGTAGGTTTCTCATGGAATCATGGAAGGGTTTGGGTTGGAAGAGACCTTAAAGCTCATCTCATTCCCTGGGCAGGGACACCTTCCACTAGACCAGGTTGCTCCAAGCCCTGTCCAACCTGGCCTAGAAACCTTCTCTCAAGGTCTACACCCATGGGTGTGGTTTATCCCTGGTGGTTATCCCTGGTGGTTATCCCTGGTGGTTATCCCTGGTGGTTATCCATGGTGGTTATCCATGGTGGTTTATCCATGGTGGTTATCCCTGGTGGTTATCCATGGTGGTTTATCCCTGGTGGTTATCCCTGGAGGTTATCCCTGGTGGTTTTCCATGGTACTTATCTGTGGTAGGTTATCCATGGTATTTTTCCATGGTACTCATCCATGGGAGCTGGTCAGTGTGCTGCCAGGGTAAAAAGGGCTGAGGAAAGAAGGACCCAGCCCAAACCATCTTGTTGTGCACCCAGAACAAGGCTGTGGCTCCCTCCTTGCAGCCCTGGCAGCATCCGACCCTCCCCACATCCACCACATCCCTCAGTCGCTCCTGTTGGGCTCCAGCTGCCACTGATGCCAAAATGGGGACAAGGGTCACCCCCAGGTCCAGCCTCTGGCCAGAGCCCTGCCCTCCCCCAGCCCATGGCCTCAGTGTCCCTGTGGTATTGCTGCCCAAATTTCATCCCCTCCCTCGCTCGGAACGGAGTGCTCCGATCCCTCCACATCCCGTTGGAGGGGAGAGGGACCAGCCTGCAGTGATGGGAATCACCCCTGGGGAGCACAGCACTGACTGACACCCAGGGACAAGATTCCCCCAGCCCAGTTGTTGCATGATGAGAGAGAAACTCCTTATCCATGTTTTTTCCTCCAGGGGGTGGGGGGGATGGTTTGGTTTGCCCAAGCTGCTGGACGTTGTGTAACCACACCAGGTCCACACATGAGGGACTACGTCCCCTCCCCAGCCCTGCCTGGCTGTCCTGAGCTTGGGGCTGGTTCTTTTGGGGTTTAGGGGTGTTTTTCTTAATTATTATTATTATTTTTTAATACCTTCTGCTGCCTATAAGCCTGCAATTATCGGTTTGCTCTCGCTCCCTCACTGCCTGAGACCACGCTCTTGTCCTCCAATGTCATCCCCAAAGAGCAAGGGGAGAAAAAAAAAGAAAAAAAAACACAAAAAAAAAGGGTATTGGATCAACCCTGCGTGTGGTGCCTAATTTAAGCCAATCAATAGGAAGAGGAAACCCAAGAAGGACTCATCCTAAGAATGCTGGAGCTGAACCTTTTGTTTCCATGGTTACAGGAGAAATGGGACCAGGAACGGAGAGAGAGGCCTGTAAACTGTTAGGAATTTCAAGTCATTTAACCATGCGTTTGCTAGGCAAAAATTTAGACACCAGCTGTACCTGAATTGCACAGTGTTTATAGACGTTCCTGCTCTTATTGACAGCCTGGGGGTGTCTGGGGGGGTCGGGTGGAAAGGAATGAGGGCCCCCCCCGAGTCAATAAGGCTGCCCGTTGTATATAGGTATATAGATCTGTGTACATACATATCCCAAACTGAGCATTTATTTGCTGTCTGGTTTATCATGAGTGTATATAATTTATTCTTCACAGAGTATTCACGACTTTTGTAAATACTGGCACTAATTAAGAGGAAATAAACATGTATATTATTGAGGAGTTATTTTTGATATCGGCTCTGTGGAGGGTGGGGGAGAGGAGAGGATGAGTGGTTGTATTTTCGAGGTGGTTTTATCTGCAACTGAAACCTTCTGTGAGAGGAGAGAGAGAGAGAGAGAAGCAATCTGAGCCATGGGAAAATCAGTTTGTGCTCCAACATCAGCCAGTTTGCAGGGGCTGGTGGAGGGGGAGATGCTCAGGGAAGAGCTGATGGATCTCCCTGATAGACACCAGGGCTTTGCTCCAAAAAAGGTTCCAGCTCCAGGGGAAGGGGATGGAAGTGGGCTCAGAGTCTTGGGTTCAAGTGTCACTTGTGACAGTGTGGCCACAAGGGTGTCATGTCCCATTCCATGCCTCGGTTTCCCCATCCTTGACACCTTCCCAGCTCCCTCCAAGGACCCAGCAAATCTCAAATCCTAATGCCAGGACAGTGAAAATGCATAAATGGGTGACTGAACCCACAGACAGATGTTGTTGAGGGGGGAGAGAAAGTGTTTAAGAGCAGCCAATTACAAACTTGTAAGTACAGAAAACCACCTGAGTGCAAAAAAAAAAAAAAAAAGTAACAGAAGCATTTCTGGGCAAGGCAACCCAAAAGAAATGTCTGTGTTTGCCGCAATGCCGAGTGGAAGCAGCCCCCAAACCGGACCAGTCTGTGCTTCTCAGCCCCATTTCCAAGCCCAGAAGACGCTCCAGCCGGCTCTGGCAGGCGCCAAACCCTCCCCTTCTCAGCGTCCTGTTGGCCGTGAGATCCTAAACAGCCGGAACACCGAAGTGGAACAAGCAGTTTGCAGAGCCGCCTGCTCCGCCCGGGCTCTCCGGAGCTGTGGCAGGAGGAGGCTGCGGGGCGGACTCGGTAATTGTTTTAAATTGTCGGAATGACAGCGTGTGGCGCCATCCCGGCCTCGCTCCGAGCACGGGGGAGATGTGGAGATGTCCGGGTGTCGCCGCCTCCTCCTCCTCCTCCTCCTCCTCCTCCAGCCGACCCGCTTGTGCTTCGACATCCTTCAAGGAGATCAGGAGAAGGTGGAAGGATCACCCCACCCGGACGGGGAGACCTCCCCACACCCGGGCAGCTCTTTCATCCCGGCTGGAGGGAGCGGCTGATCCCACCCAGCGCAGCCTGGCTGGTCCTGCCCCTGCTTAATGACCTACTTTCTGTCACCTTCTCTGCTGAGTGTCACCTCTGCCGACCAAAACCCCACGAAAATTCCTCGTGGATCCGCTCTGGAGGAGCTCACGGTTCAGGCACCTCCAAGGCGGCACAGCGATGCTCCCGGTGGTGGGAAAGCCACGCCACGCACCCGCTGCAGGGCTGAATCCCTCCAAATCCCCCTCATTCCCACCGAGGAAGGCAAGGATTCCAGTGCCAAGAGAGCACTATTCTGGAAAGCTTGGGATGCTCCAACCCCGGGGGATGTTCCCCCGGGACCAGCAGGAATTTTCAGCCGTGAGTGAGGCCACTTCCATTTGGCAAAGTGGGCACTGGGATCCCGGCAGCATCTCCCGGGCTGGAACTGTGGGGGGGCCGTTAATGGGGATGGTGAGAGCAAGACAGGGGAAATGATCCCATGCTCAGGATGCTGCTGGTCTCCTGGTGATGCTCTGCGGATGCCTGGGACAGTGGGACTTGGGTGGGAGCTGGTGCTGAGTTGAACCATCGCTGCTGCAGTGCTGGTGATCCCAAAGAGCCTCAACCAGGCAGCTGGGAACAAAAAATTCACAAGGGTGGGCGTGTGAAGCGGGGCCCCCACAGTCTATCTTTAGGTAACCTCTAGGCAAAGGTTTGCAGCTCACACAGCTCTTGAGATGCACATTTATCCTGCAGCTCTGGAAATCAGGCCAGGTCCCTCTTTCTCCTTCCCACTTCCTCCTTGCTCCTTCTTCTCCCTCCTTTGTGTTTGTGCCGGGTGTTGAAAAAGCTATTTCTGGGAGCAGAGCTCTCCTCTGCACCCTGGAAAGGTGTCCAGGGTGGGAGAAGGGTGGGGGTTAGGCAAATGAAGCAATATTTGGGTGTATTAAACATGAATCTGAATTTTACAGAGTTGGAGCTGAGTCTGCTGAGGCCTCACATCTACAAAGCGTTAGGGCAGACAAATAAGATCCAGGGACTAAAGCCAGCTCTTCCCAAATATTTAGCTATACCCCAAGGTTTAGGCCCCTTGTTCCAATGATTCTGATTTCCCAGGGGAGGCACCTTTCTCATCCTGCAGTGTTGAGGTCCTGCTCAGACACCTTGTGCCTCTCTGTGCTGGGGAAGAGCCACGGCGAGGCTGCCTCAGCTTTTCATCCTAAACAAACAGTGGGAGACTCCATGTCCAGGGAATCTGGGAAGTTCCCTGAGGGCTCAGCAGAAGGCATGCCCCACTCCTGCTCTCTGTGGCCTGCTGTTGTGGGGGCAAAGCTCTCTCACCACCCTGGGTGGGCAGAGAAACCGAGGGTATTGACCCACCAGAACTCCATGATGGTCCTCAGAGGAGTTTTTTTTTGGGGAGGTTGTTGGTTTAGAGGATTCCACAGGCACCCAAGGGGCAGGAACTGCAGCCTCAGTGCTGGTAGAGGAACCCCAGAGCTGACAAGTTTGTTTTGCTGCTTCTTTAATGCCTCCCAAAGCAGCCCCTGGCAGCAGCTGAAGATGCCAAGGTCATCCCGCCCCTCGAATCCGCGAGGGGGACGGAGCTGGGCACACGCAGGATCAGGCCCCACGGGGTGCTTTTTTTTTGGTACCCAGCGAGAGGTGAAGGGTTTGGGGCGGGGAAGGGAAGCAGAACAAATCCCTTCTGCCAGGCACCTGCTCCCTGCCTCCGCAGAAACGCCGACGGCGCAGCGTTTGAGAGCGGAGCCTTTTCCGCTTAGGAGAGGGGTTGTCTTCCACTGTCCTTTTATCCTTGGCTAATTAAAGGCAAATCTCTGCTGAAGGAGCACAGCTCTTCACAGTTGAGCTTTAATAACTAGAAAGTGGCTGCAAATGCTTGGAGGCAGCTGCAGAAATCCTGGGCAGAAAATAGCATTTTTATCTCACGGCTTTACCAGCTTTGGCTGCGGGGATAATAAAATTTCCGAGTTGCAGGAGGAGGCAACAGCAGATACAGCCCCGTTCTGCTCGAGTTTACAAAGGGATCAGTTGGAGGGATCAGCTAAATTCCCAAGCCCTCCCTGAGCAGGACACCAGAGATCCCATGGCAGGAGGGGTTGGAACGAGAGGGTATTTAAAGGTCCTGCCAAGCCAAACCGTTCTGTGATCCCATGAGATTCCATGGGTGTGGGGAGGTCCCACCAATCCCTGGGCACCATGTGGGGAAGAGCTTGAGGTGAATCCTGTCCCAGCAAACAAAGGTGTCCTCTCATCCCCAAGGAGATGTTCCCATCCAGCTGGATCCCACCAGGAAGGGGCCTCACGCTGTTCCAGTTGCTGCAGAGGAAGGTGGGTGAGGGAGGCTGGTCCCAGGTCCCTGCTGTTGGGTCCTGGAAAGCCCAAAACCAGGCTGGGAAGGTGGAAAGGGTGGAGGGAAGATGGATGATGGCTCCCACTCTGCTGCCAGCCCTGCTTTGCTCCAGATCTCGTGTTTTTGTCCCCGTGGGAAGGCCAGGCAGGCCCAGGGGAAAGGAGCAGGGGGTGGTTTTGCAGCTTCAGGTGTCTCAAACCAAGCAGGTTGGTCTGCTGGGGTCACCTGGTCACTCAGTGTGCTCTGTGTAGAGACTGGCACCTCCAAGGGGTGGAGGGATGAGGTCCCCCTTGGCTGTTGGCCTCCCTCCAGCAACTGCACAGATGGCTGCAACTCCTTCCACTTCCAGACTGGTCTGATCCGTGCTCTTGGACACTCACAAGCTGGTTATTTCCACTCTTTAAAAGGCAGAAGGAGGGTTTAACCCTGAAGGACCTCCATCAAATCAGGAAGAAGGATGCTCTGCACTGGTAAAACATCTCCCAGCCAGGCAGCCCAAAGCACTTTGCTCAGGAACGTTTTTGGAGGGTTTGAGTTACAGTAATGCCCTGAAACCCTTAAGGATGAAAAAAACCAAAACAAACCTACAACAACAGAGCATTTGGTGTAACAGGGCATAATTTTGTGAAGACAGACACAGCAAAAAAAAAAAAAAAAAAAAGGTTGTGGCATCCAGTAAGGCTGGCAAGCAGCAGGCAGGGAGAGTAACTATTATTATTCTGTTGCCGTGGCTCTCACACAGTGCTTTTCATTAGGAGCTCTAAAGTGCTTTAGGAAAGAGAAGATTCAGCTGTCTGGTCTGTCTGCAGCGATTCCAGGAGAGGAGAGCAGGCAATGGTCTTATGCAGCAGCTCTTCCTGCAGTTTGACTGGTTGCAGGGCAAGGGCGTCCTCTGCTCGGCTCCCAGAGGCATTTGAGTTACTCTTCAGCTTCCAGAAGTCTCCCTGTGCTGCACAGAGGGCTGAAAAGTTCCTCTCCATGAGTATCCCCCTCCCTTCCACCCCTCCCTCCCTCCAACATTCCCATTCCAGCTCCAAGGAATGCAGCAGACATGTTAAAATCCCATTTTGGATCATTTGGACATCCACATGGGCAGGAGCCTTCCCAGGGCAGGAGGAGATGGGAGGGCCCTGAGGGAGGACACTCGGTGACCACCCTGGAGGGGGTTTTGCACCACACAAGGAGGCACAAGGACAGAGAGGAAGGGCACTGAAAGAGCTCCCTGGCACAGCTCAGCAGCACAAATCCTCCCCTGCCTTCCCTCCCCTGCTCTGGCTGGGGGCCAGCAGGGAACATCAGCTGCCCTCCACCACCACTCGGAGGATGCTCGGGCTCCAGGCACCTGGGAATGTCCCTGGAGCAGCAGCAGCAGCTTCATCCTTGCAGCCCCCTCGGGGAAAGGTCCCTCCCTGCATTCCTGCAGCATCCCCTGGGCAGGGAGGCTCGAGGGGAGCTGGACTGATGCACTGCCTGGGTGGAAACACCAGTTTGGTGTTTGCAAGGCAGGAGAAGCCCGGCCCAAGGGCAGGTGGGCTCCGTTTTGTTCCTCAGTTG